AGCTTGGCCTTCTTAATGGCCCATTGACAAAGGGGGGATGGGCAGGAAGCTATAGGGAGCTATTCTGACTTTATATACTTGTTTCTTTCTTTTCACATCTAGAGAAATATTCTGCCTTTTCAATATTTCCTGGGATATTTCATTTTTCTGGGAGAGGGATGGGTGATAACTTCCTACAATACACAACATACACACAGACATTATGTGTATCTATACACAGTATATGTGTGTATACATACTGTACACATCACACACATACATACACATTCATTCATGTTTTCAAATTATTGTCTTTTATCAGGTTACATCCTAAATAAAATTGAATATCTTTGGATAGTCCCAAGTAATGCTTCTTTTATTCCACAATTCATGTTGCTGTTTTGTTTAGAATCCATTGTACTCTTCTTATTCATGCAGTACTTCTCATTCCTGGGTCAGTCTGAATTAATTTTTCATTGCACGAGGAATATAAAGATCATGTAATTGAATCTCCTTAGGGTCTTGTGGTTCAGAATAGATGGAAGGCAAGGTGATATGTCAGAACAAATGGCGCAACATATTGATTTTCACAGGGAACTCGGAAGATGAAATCAGTGGTACTTTATTTCAAAGAATTAGAGAAATGGACTCTTTGGTAGGCAAGGATCCCAATTCATCTATTATTTCATTGTTGAAAAAGCTACAAAGTGGAGATTTTATACTGCTATTAACTTATTTTAAAAATAATTTTATTAAAGTTTGCAAGTGCAAAGAAAAAAAAACTAATTTACAAATGCAAAGATATAAATATCTAACACAGATTAGAAGAATATAAAAAGTAAGAAAAAGAAAAAAGTGAAAAAAAGTGAAAAAAAGAAAGATAAAAGATGACTGCTATGCCATCTAGACAAATTATAAACAATTGGTTGATTTAACATCTTCTCTATACTTCAATTTATAAAACAAAACTCTCCTTCTTATATCTCATTCCTTATCAGTAGTCAAATTATATAAAAAAAATACTGAATCCTGATCAGTAAAAGCCTAACCATACCATCCTGGTTCAAAATACATCCTATAACGCCTACCAGAAAGCATAACATGCCGTACACGGCATATTTTAATATATTTATTAAACAGATTCACTTTATAAATCTTTTCATTTTTAAAAAGCTTAATTTTTAGTGCCATCAAATAGGGTCTCACAAATTGATTTCTTATCCGTGTCTTTTTGCCTCCTTCCTGGGAAAATGTGAGCAGTTTTTGTTTGTCTCTTCTCAGAGTTTCCTCGGTTCCATATGTTGTTTTTGTACATGCAAAGAAAGAAGGCTTTCCAAGTCACACTTCTGATTTATTATTTGTATGTCCGCTCTAATCATTAAAATATTAACCGGTTCCATTCATAAATCCATTTTGACATCATTTTCTGTTATGACCCGGCAGGAGCTGTTGGAGCTGCCGCCAGACTCCGACAGCGAGGGGTCTTATGAGTCGGCCCTGGAGGAGGTGGAGGANATAGATAGATAGATAGATAGATAGATAGATAGATAGATAGATAGATAGATAGATAGATAGATAGATAGATAGATAGATAGATAGATAGATAATAACCGCTCCCCAGATCTACACAGAAATTATACTCAGTGGCGAGCAAGGGAGCGAAGCGGACAGAAAGTTGTCCATCCGCCTTTTAATACCATCCTAACCCCATCGCTGTGTTGAGCGGTGCTCCACAGGTTTCTGGCCTGTTCCTGCTCTAGAAGCACATATTCATATGTTATTTTGGAGGAAAGCTTGTAAGATTCGGGGAATGTTTTTCTCCTCCCTTCCAGAATATAAACTTCGAATATAAGGTAGAGAAGGCTAAGCGAACTAAAAACGGTTCGTTGCCCTTACAGATAAATCGGGGAGTGTAAAAATAAAATCGTGGATTTTTCTCGCGGCCGCCATTCTCTCCTCGAAAGAACCGAATTTGGGTGGGAACCCGATTTGGGTGGGCGTCCTTGCATTCGTGTAAGCAAGCAAAGAAACCCCAGCCTTGGCGAAAAGGTAGGCCTCCCTCGCCACTCGCTTTTTGCCAATACGGAACCAGGAAGCCGGAGAGACTACTGCCTCAGCGGCCGCCACAAATTAATAAACGAACTTCGGGATTTCCACGAGCAACAAACCCAACAGACTGGAGAAGTTCAACTAGAGCCTTTTCGCACGAATGGCCATCTTCAGACCTGTTTTTAACCCTTTGAGTCTTAAATATCTCCAAAACAGAACCCCCAACTACCTGCCAATGGCCGTCTCCTAAATCCCGTGTCTGGCCCGCTCTATAAGAGGAATGTTTTCCACTTTGGGATTTTTTGTGCGCGGGTTTTGGTGCCCGTGCGGCGATCTTGGCGAAGATAGCACTCAAAGGCTTAATAGGTTTCTGTGCGTCCTTATAAGAGAGGGTACATTAGAAGCTCCTCAGAGCTTTGCTTTAAAGGCGACCCGGCCAGAACCAGCGTTTTTTTGTGTGTTTTTAAAGAACGGGGCGAGGTTTTTTGTTTTTTGTTAAAAAAAAAAACAGGACTTTACACTTTAATCTCCCTCGTTTTAATTGGCCTAGAATTAACCGTAGGCGATTCCCTTCCTTGCCGTTCTCTGCACCTTCGCGGGAAAATCCTGGATTCCAGAGATCTTGTAGAGCAGTTGGGGGAAAGAGAAAAATAAATTACAATCAATATATGTATATATTAGTTTTTTTAAAATAAAAAATAAAAAAATAAAAATGCAAAATCCCCCAAAATTTATTTTCTCCCTGCCGGGCAGGCAGTGCGTCGCCGGCCGCAATGCTTTCTTCGAGGATCGAAAAGCAGCAGCTCCCAATCTGGGTTGGGGGTCCTCACTTGCCCCCCTCCATTTAAGCGGGTGAGAGAGCCAGCTGGACCGGCTCAATAGAAAAAGGTTGCTTTGGACGGGCGCCTAAAAATGCGCGGTCTGGCGGATCGGGTCAAAAAAAAAAGGGGGGGGGGCTTGATTTGAACCGGGGCCTGAAATGAAATAATTTTTTCCCTCTCTCCTCTCCGTCTTTCTCCTCCTCCTCCTCCTCCTCGTTCCCTTCCCTTCTCTTTTTCCCTCACCTCTCCCCGGCGGGATCCGAACCTAGGTTATACGGCATCAAGTGCGCCAAATGCAACATTGGGTTCAGCAAGAACGACTTCGTGATGCGCGCCCGCTCCAAAGTCTACCACATCGAGTGCTTTCGCTGCGTGGCCTGCAGCCGCCAGCTGATTCCCGGGGACGAGTTCGCGCTGCGGGAGGACGGCCTCTTTTGCCGAGCGGACCACGACGTGGTGGAAAGAGCCAGCCTCGGCGCCGGAGACCCCCTCAGCCCCTTGCACCCCGCCAGGCCGCTCCAGATGGCAGGTACTCTTGGGCTCTTCCGGGAGGAGCTGGGTTGGTGCTGCGCTCCTTTATACCTAATGTCTTGCCAGACCCAGCCTAACCCTTCACTGCCCGGTTCTGTACCGTATTTAGCTTCTTACAGAAAAAAAAAAGACCTTTCTGCAGGAGCTCAAAAAGATGGACCTCAAGGAAGCGTGGAATCCTGTAGTTGGGGGTAGCTTTCTTTACAATACAAGCAGCCTTGGGGTTTCTTCAAAAACGAAGGCATTTCATTGTGTCCTAAGCTTCCATTATTCGCTAGTCTTGATTTATCAAAGGCGTGGAGTTAGAGATGGAAGGAAAAGCATGACATTTTTCCATCCAAGAAGGGGAAAGCTACAGGTCTGGTACTCAAGAGCAAACTCCTTTGCCCTCTGAGCTTTAACTTCAGAACAAATAAATAGGATGAAACTATTTCTAAGCAGTTATAATTATAGTACAGGTATGTAAATGAAAAGACATACACTAAAGGTTTAGGGTTAGGGCACGAAGGTTTGCTTAGTTTTGGTTAGATATGTCATTAAGAAAGATGCCCTTGAAAAATGATCGAGAGGAATAAGCTCTGCTTGACTGTTGGACTCCATTCAAGTCAAGGAGATGTACAACAGAATTTTTTTAACATATTTTTTGTGCCTACAAATTTAAATCATTTATATGGCCACTCATTCTTACAACAGAGACTTTGGGTGGCCTTCAAAATTAAGTGTTCGACTTCTGTTGTACTGCTTGCAGTTTTCTCGGCAAGATTTTTGGAATGTTACCCTGCTCTTAATCTTAAGACTGAGAGAGTGTGATTGGTCCAAGGTCACCCACCTGGCTTTGTGCCTAAGGTGGAACTACAATTTACAAGCTCCTGGCTTCTAGCCCAGCACCTTAACCATTACCCCAAATAGTTTTCTCCACATTAAATCCCTCTATACAGAGTAAAAGTTTCTTTCCAAATCACTTTCTTCCCTCTGTATCAAATCTCTTGGAATCCAATGAAAATTAGTGGCAAAATCTAAAATCAGGGTTAAACAAATACCGTTGTTTTATTTACATAAGCCTCAATCAAACAACTTGTCCTTCAGTTGAAAGTCTGGTTTCCATGAATACTGAACCCACGAGCTTATCAAGTTTATCTTACTGCTGTCTAATATACTAGATTCATTAGACTGGACAATCATTGTCCAATAGCCATACTCTTTTTAAACCTCATCTTCCCAAGGCCTGAGTTGACGTGGTATTTGGTGTCAGGATTTTGGTGGAACCAGTAACACAATTCTAGATGTGTTTACACAGAAAAGAACAATTCTAGATGTGTTTATGCAGAAAAGACAGGACAGGAAAGAATCTTGTGGTATCTTCCAAAACTAACATGTTTATTGCTGCATGAGCTTTTATGGATCAACTTCATCAGGAAGTTAAGTTCAGTAGGATTTATTCCCAGGAAGAGTAAATGTAGAGTTGCCGTTTAATTTATCTTATCCCTAAGATTAGGCACTCTGCCTGACAAACCCAAACATTTGCAAATACATTTTGAACTACATTATGTTTGCATTCACATTATTTTTTTATTTTTTATTTTTGCACAATTGAGGCCTATTGACGTTTGCTTAGAAAACGTTCCAGTGATTTTAAGGACTTTTATTCCCTACAGAAAAAAAAAATAACATAGTTTTTGTTTCAGAAGTTTCAGAACAATCAGTGGGGCTTGTGTTTTGGGGGGTAACAGGTGCAGATACCGACACTGAAGTGAGTCTCTGCACCTGTTGAAGTTAGTGCATAAATCCAACGTATTCAGTGTGTTTGCACACCCTTTTCTGTGAAAGTAACAGTGTCATTCTACGCTTGTTTACTTCAAAGTAAGTTTTACTAAATATCCATGGGATTTATTTCCACGTGAATTAAACAGCAGCCTTAACTCCCTTGTATTTAGTAGACTTTCCTTATGAGAAAATACGACTGGGATCACAATTCCTCCAATAAGTGTACTTAGGATCCAGAGATGAAACGTTGTTGATATTAAGTTAACCTGTGTGAACCTGAAGGTATTCAGGAGACACATATTTGAATTGGTAGAGTTTGCTTGTCAGAGACAGGAGGTTCAATCCATCTCACCTTGAAGTCAATACAAAACTTCAATTGGCTGATGGGGAGCATAAGTCTGCTATAGTCCAAAGGTAAATAATGTGTTATCTTTGGGAGCTTATCAACTGATTATTAAGCTACTAGGTATATTTTAAATGGATAAACAGACATACTCCCTGTGTGTGTGTGTGTGTGTGTGTGTGCGCGCGCCTGCCCTTTCTCTTTGGGTGTATCTTGTGCTGTCGGGTATATGGTGTAGGTTAATCAAATACTAATTGTAGGGGAATCACAGAGACCACTATTGGTCTTACATTAGAAAACTATAGTGGCCTCTATTGGAGTACTGTACAATTTCCTTAGATGTCTGTTCAAACATTAGTTCCAGTGAGGTCAATAGGGCTTCCTAGAATAGCTGCCTGAAAAGATATATATCTATATCTATAGATATATATTTGAATAAATCTATTTCAGCATTCCCCCAATGGGGGGATAGGGGGAGATTGAGAGAATGGAGAGGGAGTCTACTCCCAGTGGGATGCTGCCAATATGTCCATCAGCCACTGATCTCTCCCAAAGATGTTTCTTTGGATGAATGAAGCATTGGGATGGGGAAAGTTGCTACAAACAAGGAAACTCATAATAGGGGGGGGGGGGAGGGGAACTCTTCCAGCAGCAATTTACAAGGTCAACAAGCTAATCTTTGGTAATTGCTTTCTAGAAGTTCCTGCTGCCTCTTTCCAAAGCTTTTTTTTTTACAATTTGGGTAGAAATTGTAGCTGAAAGTTTTAAAGTGAGTTTAGGAAGTTGGCATTATTTTGTTTCACTTCTCTTCCACCTGTGCCTGATTCCCACCCCAACTCAAGTTTCGAGAAAAAAAATACTTTCCAGCCTCTTTGTTGTCATCCTTATTTTTTATATTATTATTATACAATTGTATCACAGTGGCCAGTTGTTTTGCCGGATTTGGCATTGGTTACTAGTCGGGCCCCATCTAATTATTATTATTGTTGTTATTATTATTATTAATAATAATAATAATAATAATAACTTTATTCATTAAAAATGAAACTCAGCCAACTGAATATTCAAAAATTCATTACAAATACCATTGACTGATGCTAATGGTTGATACAGTTTGCTGCCAGCGTCCTAGGTATCAACCAAGTACCTTCTTAAAATATACGGTGTTCCAAGCAGGTCAGTTTTTTGCGGTTCCGCTGGTGTTATTGCAGGAAGCTGCAATTTGTTGATGTATCTTACAACATTTTTGGACATGTTACCAAGTGCCCCAATGACAGTGGGTATCACTGTTACATGGTTTATTATTATTATTATTATTAT